GTGTAGGGCGCCACTGGCTTATCGATTAAAGAATGTCTGCCCTTCAAGAGGGCCTAGGTCACAAGCGCGCCCCTATCCGTTCCGTTGCCTCACAGATGCTCTCGGCAAACACTTGCTTGCGTCTGCGCTACGCGATGTTTGGTCAATCGCTCGCAGGGATAGCTCGTGCCACATTGCTGCGACTCTGGCATTTCGGATGTGACTGGCGTAGCAGTGTCGCCAGATCCGCGAATGCGAACCGCCGGCACGGTGCATTAGAATTAATTGTCGAGCGGTGCACAGCATCCTCGGCAGCCACGGCGCGCTCTCGAGATCAACATCAGACTCTCAAGGTTAGCCGAGCCCGCGTTAGGCGTTGCTTGCTAATCCACCCCGACCCGCGCCACACCTTCCCTTCTCCTCCGGCTCGCCGCGACGCGCGCAAGTGCGTACAAGGGCCTCTGCCAGCTTGCCCGAGGTCAGGAGTATGAGGTCACCCCGCAAGGACAAATGCCCCGTCGCGCCGGTGGCCTCCGATTTCCGCCGATGATATATATTCGCGCGAGCTTCGTCTCTCGCTCCGTGCGTGGTAGTGTCTGATTCCCTGGTCACTTCGACGATCGCGAAAGGCAAAGCCAATTTTTTCCTCGGAACAGCCGTCGATAGTCCGACAAAAGCCACTGTTCGTGGGCCCCCGGCCCTTGACCAAGTTCAAAGATGGGCCGCTATCAGACGATTTGCGAACAATTGCATTTGCTTGCTTATCGGCGGTGCGCCACCAAACGATAACTCTGCGCAGATCTACGGCTGCGTCCAACTTGTATGCGTATTTCACAGGCATGGAAATGCTATTTGCACAGGTGGGTGGCAGTGCGGACGGACTACTCAACGCGCCGAAGCATTGAGACACGCCGAGTAGAACGAACGAGGACGGAAAATAATCGATAGCCCCGACTAGACGGCGTCCCAGACGACCTTTCAACTCGTGTATCATCTTTCTCGGTCTTGGATGCCGCCGTACATTCGCGCTCGCTTGGTGTTTCTTCGCCTCGGTATGCCTCGCCAATCGGGACAAGTACACGGTGCTCAGTCGCCTCGCTCTTCGACTTGGCTTTGCTATGACGGTCTAGAAGAAGCTCCTTGTTTTTTAATCTTACTTTTTTCAGCGATTGAGTCTACGAGCCACTGACCGCTGTCACTTCAGCGCCTCTGACGCTAGTGGTTCATCGAAAAAACAATTATCCTTTCTGAATTATAAACTTTTGGCGAAACGCCCTTGAACAAGCACCTTTGCATTTGAGTTACTGGCTTTTCCTTGCGTCTATATTCTTTTTCAGCCTCGCACGTCTCTGAAATTCAACAAAATAATACTAAATTATGTGCAATGGCCATCGACTTATCGAACGCGATCGGATGGATGTATCGGACACTGCAGAGCAACGCCGTAGAGTTTTATAATGGTATCACCCTTTGCAACAATAATACTGTGCTGATCTCCTAGGTCCGAAATTGCAATTCAGACGGTACCTACGAATCATTGCATTAGCGTTCAGTTATGATTAATGTGTATGTATTATATGTATGTATAAACTGCCTCGCTGTAGGTCCACTACTCCGAGTGTCTGACACAAGAGTTGTCGGCTCAGTATTGCTCTTGTCGGCAATCTCCGAACGAAACGCTTACTACCTTACCAACATCTCTCTCAATTTTCCTTCTCGTGCCATGCGAACCGCTATATTTCAATTACATTATCGCGACACGGAATTTTTCGATTATTTTTTAAAGTCATAAAGATATTGCCGTATAGTTATGCATTCGAAAATAACATAACTATATAATAAATATTTATATTAAAACTTACTCGTATCGTAATGTAGTAATTCAGTACAACATATTATTTTAATATTCCAAAATGTTTCTTTCTTAAATTATATTCTGTTATAAGGTATATTTACTTCTGTATACATAAGCTTACATCAAAGTGTTATAATTCGAGTTAGATACTGTTAAACTCATTTTATTTAAACGGTAAGCGGACAACATTAAAATGAAATCACGATAGTTAGGAAATTTGCTTACGGTCATGAGTTGTGCCTCCTTTCCCTAAGGGTGATGTTATAATATAGAACTTATATGAAAATCTGACATGACGTCACATATCAGCATGTCGCTAGCTTACATGGGCAGCATAGGCAGCATAAATTACGTCACAACATGGTGGCATGTCGCAAACTTTAATACAGGCAGCATAGGCTACCCCTTTACGTATCCCAAAACGTTAAGTTTCGATTTGTTACTTATATGTTAAATACCATATTTATAATTCTAACCATCTCTGATCTAGAAATATATATTATATAATACGTAGTCTCATCATTATCGATGGAACTTATTGTTAATATCTTTAAAATATCACCAATTATTTATTCTTTCAAATAGTTAAAAATGAGAAAAAAGGATCCCTGTAATGAAATAAACCATGAAAAATCGCAGGTTAATTAGTTTCTAACCACTTTTCTTGTTCACAAACTATCCAATTTTGACGATATTGTTCATGTTAAGAATATTAACAATGATATCAATTTTTGAAAAAACTAAACCGATTCAAAGACATTTTACAATTGTTACGGAAATTATATTTCAATAATTAACGGTTGAACCGTTCCAGAGATATGTACGGACATTTTAAAAAGAAATCAAAAACAAAATAATTCAGGTAAAACAAAAACAAAATAATACAGAAACTCCTATTTTTCACAGTCAGCAAAAACAGTAAAATATCGAGTCAATAGTGAGATAGTGTGAATGAACATAAATATAAACATTCTTAGTTAATATGTTAGTCGTACGATCGCGCAATATACTTTGGTTTCGACCGGAGTAGTAAATAAAGAAACAAACAATTTTTTAGTAAATAATCATTCAATAAAGAAAGTCGTATCTTAGTAATCAACATATAACGTTTTATATAATATTTTTTCACGGTAAAGTGACAGACATTTAAAAAAATTTCCTAAATGTATTTTATTGTTAATGGAAATAAGTAGTCTATCAATTATTAGTTACAAAATCAAGAAGGTATATGGACTATCGAATTAAACATTGTATAAAATGCGTATTGGTGAGTCAAATATTCGTTCAGTTATCTCCCTAACACAAGTTCGGATACTCTAAGAAAATCTTTTTTCATTGACAGCGTTTTTGTAGATGGTTAACAAATATTACAGAATCATTTTCATTACCATGTGATGACTATTTTAATTCCTATGTATAATGTCTGTAGCTAACAAGAGCCTCGGTCGTACAACCAGACGACAGCACTTGGCGTATTAATAAAATTCTAATTCTAGTCTGAAAGTGTTAAACTTGTGCAGTTTTCTTTCATTACTGAACTCTAGTTGAGCTGCAACCTAACTCTCTCTCTCTCTCTCGTCACCACCTTGCCACCTACTCGACCGCTCAACAAGTGGTTCTACACTTGAACGGACGGCTTAACTTTCTCCACTAATTTCTCAACACACCGCACCCGCAACTACTGCTCTAGCTATGTCGTTCATGTTAAAAGTTATCAATAAATAGCCCTATATCGAGGCTAAGGAAGATTCAGTAAGAAAAATTAATATTAATGTTAGGAAGGAAGATTATGGAATGAAAGAAACGGTGACCCGCGGAAGGTTTGCCGGGTGCAGTCCCGATAAACCAAAACCATAACAGTCAATCAATGCTGTAGAAATACATTGTCATATTACAAACGAAAGTTGAATAGCCGGTTGCTCAATGCTCTTTCGCTCGAACGATCATGAGGCGACCGAGTGTCATTGTCCTCGAGTGCGAAGCGATTTGCATGTGATTGCGAGACACAATGGTAATTGGGCCGAGGCCCCTATCATATACGCATCGTTGTGAGCCACAAGCCCCCGAGATTTGCGTTCCCGCAGGCCGTGCGCAGGGCTACCTGCCCCGCGATCATTCTCGCCGCATGCTCAAGTCTCTCGCACACGCAATTTGCACAAATGCGCTCAGTTGGTGCGGCAGTAGAGTAGATATGCTGTATTCAAGCGTCTCCGCTGTAGGGCGAACTTGTGGTTGCCTTGTTTATCGTGATTCGTCCGCCTGCCCGAAGACTGGATTGCAAGCTCTAGCGAACAGCGCCATCAGATGCCGAAGCACGCGACAATAAGCTAACTGCTCGGGTAACGGGCCGCGCTTGAGACAAAAGCATTCGCGACGGCTCCCGATAGGGCACTATTAGGTTGCGTTTCTCGAGGTCTCTGTCGTGGCCTCGGCTGATACTCGACGGCCGGCGGCGTGCGGATGCCACCGTTAACGTCCTATCTTGGCAAGCTCACGGCGGGCAGTCGGCCGAGGGTTCGACGAGCAACGTGGCCCGGCTGACAGTTATTCGCTTAAGCAGAATAAAAAGCTTTGAGTCGAGCAGCAAGTCGGACTGATCGCCGCGCGCAGCTTGCACTGCGCAGCTAGCCTCGCAGAGAGCGGGCGCTCTACCCCTATTTCCGCCAGTCCGGCCGCGCTGGCGTCGCCCCTACCCTCGCTCGCGGCCGGAGTCGCGCTGCGCTCCTTGCCGCTCGTCGGCGCTGCAGCCGCGCTCGCCGAGGAAGAGAGCGTCGGCTGGCGGGTGGGTGGTGGCGCCTTCTCCTTCTTCTTCGCTCGCGCTGCGTCTTCGGCAGCCCCGCTCGAGCGCGCCTTCTCGCGCGCCCACTGTTTTCCTCCTCTCGCGCTTGCTGCTTCTCTGCCTGCCTTTTCGCCGTTCTCTTTCTTCCCTCTCGCCGGCGTCGGGGCGGGCGGCCGGGGTGGCGGCGTCTCGCTCGCGCGGCCGGGCGTCTTGGCCGGGAGGCAGCCCTCTCAAGCCTCTCGCCAGGAGAAGGGAAGAAGCGAGGCCTTGCTGGCGCTGGCGCTGGCGGCGACGGCGCAGCAAGCAGCGCGAGAGAGGCGCCGGCTTCCGCTTCCTTATGCTCCGCCGCCGAGTGCATCAAGCAGTCGCGCGGTTCACCCGGTCGCGCTCATATAAGGCAAGGCTCGAGGGAGTTGGCAGTGCGCGCCCGCGTCAGCGCTGCACAGCGGGCAGCGCCGAGTGACGAGATGAAGCGCTGGTCGGCGAACGGGCAGGTCCATAGTCGAGCGAGCTCGCCAGCTTGAGTGCGGGCGTCGGCGTCGGCCTCGTCGCAGCCGCAGCCGCAGCCGAGCATGGGGCCTTCGAGCCGCCGATTGTGCCAACAGCGCGGCCTCAGCTCCCCGGAGCAGCACCGCCGCAGCCGCAGCCGCGGGCCCCTGGCCGCCGCCTAGGCCGGCCCAGCCCGGCCGCCTGCAACCAAAGTTCCTATTTTCAGTCGGTAGCTCGCCGGCCGAGCGCCCGAGCGCCGATCGACCGACCGACCGACCGACCGAACGACCTACCGAACGACCTACCGAACGACCGAACGACCAATCGAACGCCCGTCCGACCGACTGACCCAACCCAACCCAACCCGAACCTTCTAACTAACCGACCGACCGACCGACCGACCGACCGACCGACCGACCGACCGACCGACCGACCGACCGACCGACCGACCGACCGACCGACCCACCGACCGGCAGATTGACTGACTGACCAGGAGCGCGCCAGCGACGAATCGGACTCCCGCGCTCATTAGCCGGCCAATTAGACGCTCGGCTGCGCGCGCAAAGTTCCTGTCTCGCAAGAGACCAACCTGCCGAGCGTTCAACGCACGGAACGTGTCCTACTCCTGTTGCACCGAGCGCCAAGCATGCATACCTTGAGATCTGCATACCCGTAACACGTTATGGGCATATATTAGCTATAGATCCAAGAGCGCCGCACGCTTTATACCCACCTCTTCTACATTACATTTATATGTATACACTATAAATCTTATATATTCTGCACACACACACACACACACAAATCTCTGCAAGCGAGGCGACAACTTGTACAAAGCCCTCGACGTCCGCAGTTGTGAATCGACGACGAGCAACAATCAACTAGTGGTTAAGCAAGAGCCGTGTAATGCTGGATCGACGAGGAGGCCGCGGTCACCCTCGATTGCCCGCAAGATTCGCTCGACAGATATTCAGAAATCATTGTGTCTTACGGTCGCGCACACGAGGCGCGTCCGGCAATAAGGCTCGCCAGAGCACACGCAGTTCCTAGCTTATTTTCTATACAAGTGAAAGCGAGCGCCAGAGAGAGTGTATCGCGAACAAGCAATTGCAAACGCAGCACAATAAGCAACGACAGAGAGAGAGAGAGAGAGAGAGAGAAAGAGAGAGCGCGCGAATGTGAGTGCGTGTGCGTGCACATGTGTGCACAACAAAGTTCCTATGTAGCAGTGACTTGGTTGAGGAGTCTGACCAAGTGCAAGCGATAAGCGACTATCGGCGAGGATGTCGAGCATAAGCGTAGTGTCGAGCTCGTCGGTCGAGGTAGAAAGCGACTCGTCGGTGGAAGCCGAGGGTATGTCTGTGCAAGTGCAAGTGCAGGTCGGTACCGAGCTGGAGCGCAAGTTCGTGCTACCGAACGAGCTTTACAAGAGTCTACTGGCGAGCGCGGTCCTCGGCAAGACGGTGCTCAATCGCAACCTCTCGTCCGCCCTCAAGGAGCTCAAAGACCTCGAGGACCTGAAGGACAGCAAGGATATCAAGGGTTTCAAAGAGCCCCGAGACCCCAAGGACAGAGCCAAGAGTCCGGACCTCGGCTGCGCAGCCTCGCTACCGGCCTTCCCGCGCAACCTGGCCCTCCGCGCGAGCGCCCACGAGCAGCTCGAGGTCAGTCGTATCCTAGGTCCCCTTTCAGCTGCCTCTTCCCATGTCCCACCTTCGACTTTGCTGCCTGGCTCGCAAAGCGATCACGCCGACCAAGCCACAGAGCAGCGCGCGATTTACGAACAACTGCGGAGATCCCCTGCATTTGTCCTTGCCGACGATGAATCGGCCGCCATAGGCGTATGCTTGACGCGTGCGACGAAAACGACAGTGGCTGCGTGGAGACTGACGATTTTGCTTGAATTGCAGAAGGCGTCGTTCGCGTGGTCCGAGGGCGGTGGCGACGAGGGCGGCGGAGGGGGCGGCGGAGGCGGCGGCGGCGGCGCGCTCGGCGGCGCAGCCGGGACCGCTGGCGGCGGTGCCGGCAGCAGCGGCGGACTGGCCCACTGGGTCAGCGTCATGGCCGAGCACATCCACAACCCGCACACGACGAGCGTCCACCAGCAGCAGTCCTCGTCCCCGCAAAGCCCCTACCCCTGGAACAACGGCCTCAACTCCGACTCCGTAAGTGTTCCAGCAGCTCTCCTTGCATTCTGTTCAATGGCAATTCGAATAGCAGCGCAAAGCCCCTGGCGATCTCGGCTCTGCACGCGCTCCTACCGTCGCGTCGCTAAAATCAACCTCGAGCCCTACGCCGAGTGCAATTGCTGCGGCTACAGCCTCTCGCTTTTCAATGAACGCTTCGGCCGATGCGCGCGCCACCCGGCTCTCGTTTTTCCGCAAAAACTCCAGCCTGCTTCGCTCGAAGGCCCGGCCAACGTCTCCCGCGCGTAGCCTACGCGTCCCCTTTACAATTTTCAATTTAACACTTATATCTTTCATGTTCGATGAGCTTCAACGAAATTACCCGAGGTCGGTACCCGTAGAGTTGCTCGTTTTTTTCCTTCGGAAAATTCGCGTTGCGTAACGTGCGATTAGGCCGCCTCGTTTGAACTTGCCTGGAACGTTGGCTTCTCCCTCCGTTATAACGGAGCTCGTCGTCGCGGGCAAAAAGCGTGACGCTTGAAAAGCGTTGCAGTTCTAACCCCGTGCGTCACACTGCCTCGTACACAGTGTGCACGCATAAGCGCGTGGAGGAATAGAAAATAGGTTGAGGCAAGGATGAAAAAAAACAGAGCCGTTGCTACAGCAGACCAGTACGTTGAAAGCTTTGAAAAAAAAGACAGCGATGAAAAAATGCATGATAGGCAAGACGCGACGTTAGGGAAGGGTCCAGGATACGTGGATGGAAAGGGTGAGAGGGAAATGACCCGGATATGCTCGCACGCACACTCATAACAGACGACTTGTTTCGCAGCCCCGCTACCAGACAAAACGAGTTGTTGGCCTGAGACTGTTTTGATTTTGGGTTTTTGTGCGTTGGCGAGAGCATCGCCGCATAAAGTGAGCGGCGCTTGTTTTTGTGACTCGGAAAAAAAAGGAATGGAACGGTAAACGCGGAAGAGAGCGAGAATAAACCGACCAAGATCCGTCGCGAGCAGAGGCCGCGAGCTGGGGCTCGAGATTTCTTTCTGCATATAATTGACGCTGCGCCTAGATTTCGTCGGCAGGCCGAGCCCGTTCGTAGACAAGGGACAGGCACTAGCCGAGCGGACAAAAAAGAGCACACACGCGCAAGCGGAAGCGATAAAAAAAAAGAAAGTTTTTCTTTGCGGAGGCCCCGTACAAAGGCGCTTCGCTCATTTGAATGCGCGTAGGACCGTGCTCCTGGCAGTCGATTGGCCCGCTCCCAAGTACCGCCGATCTGCCCGATGCCGCTTCGCTTTTTCACGCGCCTGTGCGTGCACGAGCCTCAGGCGTTGATTGCGTTTCCAAATCGTTTGGCCCGCGTGGTCGTCTCTCGCCCGATCGCTTGCAGCTTGCAGGCCCCGTTGCCCTTCTCACCTTGCACTTCCTCCGCACCGATCTGATTGTCCCCGCTCGGTTCGCCTCCATCTGCATTTATTTACCACTGCTCGGCAGATGCGCTCTCGCGGCTGCTTAGTCATGACCGCGCCTTCGATTGCTCGCCACATTGACTGCCAAATTGACCTTCTCATCCTCGTTCAGCGGCCAATCTTGCGCTCGACAGCGAGAGTCGAGCTTTCTTGCTTGTGCGCTTTCGCGATTCGCTGAGAATCAATTGTTTTCCACTAATTTCAGCTAATCACCTGATCGTTGAGTCAAGCTCGACGATTCGTTCTCGGCTGAACTTTTTGTCCGAGCTTATGTAAGGATACTGTGAAACATTTGTTCTTGTTGCTGTAGCTTCATACTTCCTACTTCATCTTGTTTTATTACTCCATCAATGTATCGTACGTTTGACAACAGTTTTGGAATCTTTTATGAGCAGTCACTCGCTTGACGAATAATACCTTGGCATTTCAAACTCATCATTGGATATATTGGATCTTCGTAACTTGTGATTATCTAATCCCTGTCTGATACTGTCGTGTCGGGACTGCTATTTTTGATACGATCTGCCTATTCGATTACTTATTTAACCTATGCAACGAGCTGACCTCAGCTGAACATTCATATTTTGTTACAATAATGACTTTATTTCTTATGATTGATCGATGTGAATTATGCTGTCCTTTTCAAACTCCTGCAGTTGCAACAGATAACATTTTAATAGATCACTTTGAACCTTAGTCACTTTAAAAAGCTAATTTTTCATGACTGTGTGTAGCCGGATTTGTCCTAGCAGCTAGATCGCGAAATCCAGGTTACCAAAGCTCTTGACGTGATCAATTGTTTACTTCAAAATGCGCTTCCTTGATAACGTAAATATCGCTTTCAATCAAGGAAATAATCACTTTTCAAAATCTTACCGTAAAAATTTATGTCGATAGAAAATATTCAATTGCTAAATTGCGTGTTTATGCTTTTTTATTTTTTAGTAAGGCATTTAACAAAAAAGTCATGTTCTCGCACAAAAGGCAAGAATAGTAAAATTCGTCGATCGCACACTACCGTATTGGATTTTCCTATATACCGCTTGCAAGCGTATCTATGTGCGCGTATAATATGAAATTCATCATGCGCAAGGGGCTCACATGCTTGCCGTAGGACTTTGAACAAATTTTGGCAAAATTTTAATAACATATAGAAACGTTTCATAAAGTCTCGGGTTGTTTTAATGATACACGAGTAATCCAATATTCGGTTATTCAAGTTAATTCAATGACTATAGCGTAATTAATATAGGTACTATTCTACCGAGTAATTTATAGGTAAAAATACTACAATATCAATATGGCCGTGTTGTGAGAACGTATTGCAAGTGTTTTACCTTATAGTACTTGTAGCAGTGGCATATAGCCAGAATTTTCCAAGCTAATAAAAGTCGTTTCATTGTGAAATAACCAAATTATTTTTTTCAAATTATTGCTTACAAATTTTGCCTCATTACTATTAATAACGTCATGCAAATACTTCCTAGTATATCAAAATTCCATGCCATTAGCGATTCTGTCCTTTATTTCAATATTTCGTTTATAATCGATGTCAAATAATTACATATTCAAATTAAAATTACCTTCACTCGGTTATGGTCGAAGTTTTGTCATCCGTTGCTAACATAAACGCTCAAGACCTCAAGGATATGACTTGGAATATCTGAAACCGATATCTAAAAAGTGTAAAAGATATAATCACCAACCATCAATTTGACACCGTGCTTACTTTCGTAATTAATGAAGTGACGTGACGGACCCTTGATAATGAAAACCGCTTTCGAACGGTAGAATTGATTAGATTTAAGGGTACGAAAACCAATAAATTGCTATCTAACAAATTAAAAAATCAAGCGAAATATTGAAATTGAATTCTAGATGTAATGTCTCATTCAAAACATTTCCAACTTTTCGTATTCCGACAGTGAATCGAATTGATAATTTAAATCTTATTATACATAATTTTCATTAACAACATTGAAATTAAATTGTCAAATATTACTTTTTACTTCTCTCAATAATTAAAAATGTAATCTAAAACCTTGAAATTTGTATATTATCCTAACTGATTAACATTACACACTCCGGTAAAATACGTTGAAATGAGCCGATAGTTTATAAAAAAAGATCAGAATAATTATTTTAAGAAAAAAGTCATATCACTAGAATACATATTTTCTTTCGTTATAGAAGAGATAGACCTAATTTTTTCCTAATCAGAAAATTTAAACATTGCATGTTAATAATAAATTGATTCAATAAACTGAATCACTGGATCAGTTCGTAGTTTCAACCTCATTACAATTGCAATATATGTCGGAAACGCCAATAGATTTTCAATTTTTAGACTGCCAATTGAAAACACAAATAATTGAGGCGTTTGCGATCGGAAACACTTTTAGCCAGAGTTAATGATATTCGAGGAAATTAGTTGAATATTTAAGCAACAAATAGACTAGAGGTTGGTCGATGAGTTGGGATAAACGGAGGTAAACGAGATGTAAAATAAGGAAGGATTGACAGATTAGATCTATGCGAGATGACAAAAAGCTGCGGGGCGTCGATGATGTAGATGTATGAAAAAGGTCGCTGAAGGGCAATCGAAGGATGATTCCTGGCTTGTTTTCCAAACAGTCAAATTAGACGAAGCCGTGAAATGGGTGCCGGCTCTTTCTCTCTATGCGTGCGTGCGTGTGCGTGTGTGTGGCGTTAGGCGCATTGCGCAGGCAGGCAGGCAGGCAGGCAGGCAGGCAGGCAGGCAGGCAGGCAAGCAGGCAGGGGGAGAGGGCAGGACAGGGCAGGTCCTATATACGGGCTGTTGTTGCGAGTGGCGCGCGGATAAAGGAAACTAGGATGAGAATTTAAATGTGAATAGGACGAAGCTTGGCATCGCGGCGGCAGTAGCTCGTGTAGAACCTGCAGCACGGTTCCTCTCGAAATGAAGCTCCCTTGGTCCGTTCTCCCTTTTGTCCCAAGGCTGAGCAGCATAATATCTCGCTATACTGTCCCCAGGCCGACGCTCTTCGCCGCGTCACACGCTACTTTTTTCTCCCTCGCGCGCGCTTCTTGAGCTCACCTGCGGCCTACCCGCGAGCCTCAGAAACAAGGCGCTACAACAATAAAAAATCATTTAAATAATCCGTGGCGGTGAGCACTCACCTCGTTCTCACAGTGCTGCGTCTTCTTTGCTCTTCTGGCCTCTTTCCTTTTCCACTACATGTGTACATACATAAGTAGCGCTCCGATAAATGTCCACTCGAGACGCGCGATGCCGTAACTATCGCTTGTATCTGTTTGAGCGTCGTCTTCCGAACGGAGGCTCATTAACGCAGCAGCAGTAGCGGCAAGCGAACGCCCATACGCCCGATACGCCGGGCAATTAATTAAACGCGATCTCAGCGGTTCGTTAGCGAGGCACGATCGGGGCCGTGGAAGCAAGCTCTCGTGGCATTATAGCCAGCCAAAATTCATTAGCCAATCTGGCTGAGGCCGGGACGTGGCGCGGCGGAGCGCCCTTCCAGGGGTGAGACGTGGAGAGAGAAAAATGATTGCGGAGAAAAATGAGGG